CGTCTTGTCGCAACTTGATTCTTGTTCTTATTGGCAGAACTGCCACTCCTGCTTGAAGGCCATTCTCTTGGTTTCTTTGGAACTTGAGAAAGGTTCAGCCCAGACATTGCAGCTTGCGCATACGTTTTGCCCAGATTGAGTGACTTTTGCTACTTGAGGCATTTCAGGCTCAAATACAATCTCTTCTTCTGGCGGTTCTTGTAGATCTTCCAGATCAGTAACGAGGCTTCCAATATCATCGGTTCCTCTATCGACATTTTCTTGATGGTGATTCAAAACGGCCACAATAGGTTCTTCCTCTTTGTCGCCTTCATCACCCAAATTGTCGTCTGATTCATAGTCGTCATTTCCACGGAATCTGACAGTGAGTTCTGGCATATCATCGACATCATTGTCTGCATCTGCCAAGAGCTCTTCTCTTTCGGAGTCATTGATATCATTGAATTGTCCATGTAGATTGAAATCACGTTCATCTTCATTTTCAGGTTCATAGTCCTGATCAAAGGCTTCTTCTAAGTAACCTTGTGCCGTGTCATCTACTCCTGCGATTTGATTGCCATCTTGAAATGTCTCCAAATCTCTCTTCTTATCAAAGTTATTTCATGGAAGTAACACCTTCGGCAGCAGCCCAAGCTTCAACACGCTGGATTACTTGATCGGTAACGGGTAGTACAACGACCTTGGGTCGGGAAATCATCTTCTTAGTATTAAGGTTGAGCACTTGGTGCCCAGTACGTTGTCCCTTCGTAGGTTCAATGTAAATTGCTTTGATACTTTGGGGTTCCATTGAATTGTTGGAATCTGTCCCAATTGCATGAGCATATTGTCCAAGTTCAGCAACCATGTCACTCTTGTAGTTGATATTGACATTATCAATGAGTTGCTGCGGACTGAAATGTGATGAGATACTGTCTTTCTGGGGAAAGACAGTCAATAGTTCGGCGGCTTGACGTCCAAGACAGTGATCACTTTTGGGACCACTTTGTAGGGTAATTGTGCAAAAGCTACTCTGACTCTTTCTTTCAGCGTCCTATTGTTTCGCTCAGCGGTAGGCTCGTGGTCTCCAGCTGCAGCCGGGTCAATAGTAACACCCATATCGTCTAGCATATCATCGCTGAGAGGAAGGAACGCGCGATCACACTTGATGATCTTGACTTGAAAGCCTGCCTTGTTGTAGCGGCGGAATATCTTATCCAATGCTTCAAATACAGGGTCAGTCTTCAGGTTCTGCATGGGAATACATGAGCGATAACACACAGTGGTATCAATGCAGGTGAGAAACTTAGCATTCTCGATCTCCATGTGATCAATACAGACGGTAATAGATCGATTGTGCTGATATAATTCCTCTGGTGGACTGAAGAAGTCGTCGTACGTCTTCTTTGGAGTTGGTCTTGTTGACTTGCCTTTCAATGTAGAGGCGTCAGGTCCAAAGATTTCTTCGGTGATATGACAGTTCTTGATGAGACCAGATTGGATCGCATACTTCAGACTTTTGGTGCTTGGAGCACTGAGTATGTGCATTCCACTTCTTGCTTCCATCGCAGCCTTGACTTGTCTTGGAGTGAATCCTTCCTTGTTCCTTCAAACGGTTGCCATCTTGGAGGTCATCTCGAGTCCAGTATATCCATTCTGTTTGTTTGAAGAAATTTCGAAATGGGGTTGATTAATTAAGTTGCTTATCTTGTGCTTTGCTGACCGTCTTTGGATAGTAATCCACTTCTCTGCAATAGTTCATCTGAAGATCCAGCATCAGAGGAGCTTTTCTCGTTCGATCGCAGTTGCACAGAAATCCTGTTGCAAGAACGGCTTCAAAGATATCATCCTTGAACTTGTTTTGAGCAGCAGTATCGGTGCTAGCAATAGCAGCATACGCTTTCGTCTTGACTGCAAAATCTCGGAACCAGGCCACGCCATATAGATCTTGCAGGACTTCAGCCTGTCTCAAAAATCGTTCCTTGAAATGCATCAGGTTTTCCGTTGTTCCTTGCTTCATAGCAAAGAACTTTTGATTCGCTTCCCAGAAATCCAAGAAATCATACTCAGCATCAGCACTCTTATTCATGAATCCTTCAATATGCTTCAAGAGTTTGATCGGATCTTCAAGAGTAGTCGTGAAATCGACTTCACCTCAAAGCTTGATATCCATCGCCTTTGTCACAAACTTCAGCATGATGTTTGATTTGACGGTTCTCTTCTTTGTCTCCAAGTAGGCTGATCTTCGCATGTTCTTCCCATGCAGAACCTGATGACTGACCCTGTTAGAATAAAGCAAAATGTGCTCTATTGTGAGTGCCTTTAGCGCTCAGAACAAACTCTCTGCAATCTAAATTCGTAATCCATTGTACAACACTTTCACAACAATAGTTCAAACTGCTTCCATCAAGGCGAGACAGCGGATCCTTACCTGGTGTCATTCCTGGATCATTGCCGACGGCCGGAGGGCTTGGAAGACCAGCCACTGGAAGTGGATCTGGAGGACCATGTTAGCTTCTGGCGTAAGATGGGGGAACACAAAGGTTCGGAGCCACACGGCTTGCATAATGGCCATTTCAAAGCGGGAGTAGCATCCAACTTGCTTGCCTGCTACGACACAATCTTTCGCTCCATCCCTTTTGCCACAGGATTTGTCCCAGCCCAGTGGTGCCACTTGCTCAACTTTGCAATTGAGAAGAAACCAGGCGAGATTCGGGTGGACCCCATGCGCACAATCCAAATGATGAATTCGGAGCTCCAGGCCAACAACAAGAGAGTGGGGAAATCGGCCATGGCCTACGCAGAGAAGCACAACTTGATCCCAAAAGGACAACATGGGTCTCGCAAGCGCCACCAGGCCATCGATCTGGTCCTTACAAAGCGTCTCACTTGGGACCTCTTGCATCTTCAACGCCGCCCTGTCGGGTGGATCTCCAACAATGCCAAGTCCTGCTTTGATTGTCCAGTGGGTGGCCATCATTCGCCTCATGTGCTTTGGGATTCAATGGCGTACCCTTTGCTCCATGTTTGATACACTGATGAAGTCTAAGCACCAGGTGCGTGCGGGGTTTGGCGATTCCGACCGTGTCTTTACTCCCCCAACCCTGATCCCATTCCAAGGGTGTGGACAAGGCAATGGGGCAGGACCTCCTATCTGGGTTGCAATTAGCTCCATTCTCTCGGGGATGATTATTTGCAAAGGCTTTGGCTTTGACTTTCTGATGTCAATATCTTGGGCTCCGCTCTTGGCCGATTGCTTTTGTTTTGTCGATGACACTGATGTCTGCCAAGCAGCATTGTCTCCTGACCAGTCTAGGGAATCTGTTGTCCCAGAGGTGGCCAAAGCACTGACATGGTGGTCCAACGGCGTCCGCCTTACTGGTGGCGCCATCCGACCAGATAAATCCTTTTGGTATCTGATTGGCTTCAAGTGGAATGCCCAACAAGGTGTATGGAAATTCCGACGGAAGGGGGATTTCAAACCACCCCTTCTTCCAACAGGCATGTCGGAAATTGCGGTTGAACTGGATGATTTGGATGGCACCCCAGTGCATCTACAGTGGTTGGAACCGCACAAATTGGCTAAGACTTTGGGTATCCTGATGTCCCTCTGCTTATACAGGAAAGTGCAACTTGTGGTGATGCAGGGAAAAGCAAAAGCATGGGCGGATCAGATCCAACCTAGCTTCCTCCACTGATACGATGTCCTCCCTCTCTTTTGCACCACAATCCAGAAGACTTTGGAGTACCCCATGGCGCTCACCTTCTTCTCCCAACAGGAGTGGAATCAGCTCCTATCCCCAGTGCTCAGGGCGGCACTTCCAAAAGCTGGTATCTGCCGCAACTTTCCTCGTGCTATGGTCTATGCCCCTATTGCACTCCAAGGAGTGGGTGTCCCTCATCCGTACGGTCTCCAAGTCATCAAACACTTGGACATGCTACTTTGCCATCCTGCCAATAAGACCAAGACGGGTGCCTTCTTGGAGGCAGTTCTTCAGGCACATCAGCTTGAAACCGGTACCTCATACGGCCTCTTCCAACAAGTCTATGCCAACACCTCCATCCTGGCGTCTGACACGTGGGCAAACCGGACTTGGAGTGAACTCGGCTCTCTCTCCATCCACCTGGAGTTTGATTCCCCTTCTCTTCAGCTACTACGCCGAGGAGACCAACTGTTAGTTGACCTGTTCATCGAATCTTTGGTGGACCAACTTACTTTGAAATGGCTCAACTGGTGTCGGATCTTCCTGCGCGCAGGCACTCTTTCTGATATTGTGAATGCTGACGGGACAGCGATTACTCTGAAAGCATGGAAAGGGCTAAGAGCGGACAGCCGTTCTGATCGGTCTTTCTCCCAACTGGACTGGTGGGAGCAGCGCAATGTGGAAGTGGACTTCAAAGCACAATCCTAACGCCGCCTGCTGGAGTCTACAGGCCGTTCTGCCGCCTCCAACCCCCGCTTCTTCCATGAACCTGTGTCTTTATTCATCGATGGAGTTAAGTCGTCCCAACTGGATCAGGCTCACATCATGGAGCTAGTCTCTCTCCCTGCCCTTTGTCTCTTGCAGGCGCCATGAAGGCCCTCTCAGCAAATCTCTAACGCTGGACACCCAAGCATATCTCTGGTATGACAGGCGTGGGCAAATTCTTGGCCATTTGGAACCGTTTGGCGAAGAGCTCCTGCCCCAGATGCTCCTCCTGCCCCGTGGAAGGTCACCTCCATGTCCCATGCTGTTCTGCTCCTACCGCAGCTGCAGAATGGTCAAAACGCCATCTGGCCCTCCGGACCTGGATGCAGACTCAGCAGACTGCCCCAGAGATTGAAACCTTCCTCTTCGAATACCTGAAGACAGTCCGTCAGCCTTCCTTGGGCGTCCCCACCGTCCGAGCCTGGTCCCGCCATCCCCACCTCTTCCAACGTGCCAGTGTCTTTATTCATCAACGGTGTTAAGTCTTCCAAACTGGATCAGGCTCACATCATGGAGCTGGTCTCTCTTCCTGCCCTTCGAGCATATTGGTCCTCCAAGGACCACCTCTCCGAGCAGTCCATCCGTGAGGTCAATTGGTTATCTCTTGCACGCGCCATGAAGGCCCTCCCAGCAAATCTCCAACGCTGGACACCCAAACATATCTCCGGTATGACAGGCATGGGCAAATTCTTGGCCATTTGGAACCGTTTGGCGAAGAGCTCCTGCCCAAGATGCTCCTCCTGCCCTATGGAAGATCACCTCCATGTCCCACGCTGTTCTGCTCCTACTGCAGCTGCAGAATGGTCAAAACGCCATCTGGCCTTCCGGACATGGATGCAGACTCAGCAGACTGCCCCAGAGATCCAAGCCTTCCTCTTCGAATACCTGAAGACAGTCCGTCAGCCTTCCTTGGGCGTCCCCACCGTCCGAGCCTGGTCCCGCCATCCCCACCTCTTCCAACGTGCCATCTCTTCCCAAGCCACGCTTGGGGCCCAGGGCCTCCTTGAAGGCCTAGTGTCCCCCAACTGGCGACACCTGCAGGCCCTTCACTTCTCCTACATTGGCTCCAAGAAGTCTGCCAACCTTTGGGCCTCCCGCCTGATCCAACAACTGATCCGGATCGGGCACTACATGTGGAAACCCCGCAACCGGCTTGCCCACTCTGAAGACAGCTCCTGGTACACGGCTTGCAAGCGGGAGATTGACATTGACATCCGCGAACAGTTCGCCATGGGCCTGATGGATATCCCCCCACGCTCGCAGTACCTCTTTCGGGACTCTCATGAAACTGTCCTCAACAAATCACTTGAAGATCGTCAACATTGGCTGCGCCTTGTCTCCCGTGAGAGAGCGATCAACCGTCGCTCTCTAGCCAGGCAACGCCAGATGATCTTTGACCTGGCGCGACCCGCCAACCCAACATCGACTCGGCCAACCGGCGCTAGTCCATAAACAGTCAGATGTCTTGGCCATCTCTCTGTCCCTCTATGTTTCACTCTCCCTCTGTCGACCACAGGACTAGGGAACTGCAGTCTGTCACGTAGATGGTTGCCACCTTGTTCTGGAACACTGTGCCATCGGGACGCTCTCCATTCACTTGGATCGATACACCCAGGGCATTAGGGCGCAAGAACAATTGGCTTCTTACCTGCTACACAATCATGCCCACCATCACCTTCAAAAAACTCAAAAAACAAAATAAAAATACGCCGCCCCGAGTGGCAAGATCGTTTCTACATGTGCAAGAGTGCAATGTAATATCCGATGAGAGCAACTTCCCTGGGATTGGATGCCTCACACTGGTTCAACAGTACTGGACTCACCACCGTATGGTAAATGGCCATGACAGCCGTTAACGGCCATCTAGAAACTTGAGATAGTTTTAATACAATTAATGCATCAGATATATATGCTTCCATCAAGGAGTTTCCAATGAATGGTCTCCAAGAGAGCAATTTCATCATTTTTTAAAAAAAATTTCACAGGAAAGAACCATTCTATAAGACTTGTTATCTACATGGAATGGGCAAAGCAAAAGCCTTGCACAAAAACTCAAATTTCCCAAACCTTTACTGGATTTTTGCAATTCAGAAAGGCCGATACAAAACCCACATACAGAACTCCTGTAGGATTCAATATGGGACTGTCGTGGCGCTCAGACGTTTGATGGTCGGACACGGTCATGTCTTTAACAAATTTGGGAGTGAAACAATCTCATAGGAGCATTTGTCTCAATTCCTTATCCACAGCATCCTTTCCATCATCACCAGACTTCTTAAGTCCTTGATTGATGTAATACTGTTGGATGAAGTTCAGACCTTTGTCAGTATCAAACTTGGCCTTGATCTGCATCATGCAACGAGCAATCAGAATAGCGTCATGCTCTTCTTAATCAGCTTTCATCTCATTCCCAATTTGTTGGAAACATAGATTGTGCTGGGCTTCAAGGATAGCTTTGCTATCTTTTGTACTGTGACTTCCTTCTTTGGTACAAATACCAGATTTTGACTCATTCTTCAACAGCTTCAATTCCCTCGCTTGATGCTTGCATCTTACTGCAACTCAGTTCTTGTTCTTGTTGGCAGAACTGCCACTCCTGCTTGAAGGCCATTCTCTTGGTCTCTTTGCAGCTTGTGCATACGTTTGCCCAGATTGAGTGACTTTTGCTACTTGAGGCGTTTAACATGGCTCCCAATATCATCTCTATCAACATTTTCTTGATGGTGATCCAACTTGGCAACAGTAGGTTCTTCCTCTTCATTGCCTTCATCACCAGAATCGTCGTCATCTGATTCATAGTCATCATCTCCACAGAATCTGAAAGTGAGTTCTGGCATATCATTGACATCATTGTTTGCATCTGCCAAGAGCTTTTCGTTTTTGAAGACATTTACATCATCGAATTGTCCACGTAGATTGAAATTACATTCATCTTCATCTTCAGGTTCATAGTCCTGATCAAAGGCTTCTGCAAAGTAACCTTGTGCCGTGTCATCCACTCCTACAATTTGATTGCCATCTTGAAATGTCTCCAAATCTCTCTTCTTATCAAAGAACTTCATGGAAGTAACACCTTTGGCAGCAGCCCAAGCTTCAACACGCTGGATTACTTGGTCGGTAATGGGTAGTACTACAACCTTGGGTCGGGAAATCATCTCCTTAGTATTGAGGTTGAGCACTCGGTGCCCAGTACGTTGTCCCTTTGTAGGTTCAATGTAAATCGCTTTGATACTTTGGGGTTCCATCGAATTGCTGGAATCCGTCCCAATTGCATGAACATATTGTCCAAGTTCAGCAACCATGTCACTCTTGTAGTTGATATTGACATTATCAATGAGTTGCTGCAGACTGAAATGTGATGAGATACTGTCTTTCTGGGGAAAGACATTCAATAGCTTGGCGGCTTGACTTCCAAGACACTCAGTGATCACCTTTGAGGACAACTTTGTAGGGTAAGCGCGCAAGAGCTACTCTGACTCTTTCTTTCAGCGTCCTATTGTTTCACCCAGCTGTACTAGTAGGCTCATGGTCTCATGCCTCAGGTCCAAATATTGCTTCTGCATGTTTGATCACTTTTTCAGTGATAGGACAGTTCTTGATGAGACCAGATTGGATCGCATACATTTGACTTTTGGTGCTTGGAGCATTGAGTATGTGCATTAACTTGTCTTGAAGTGAATCTTTCCTTGTTCTTTCAAACAGTTGCCATCTTTGAGATCATTTCAAGTCAAGCATATCCATTTTGTTTGTTTGAAGAAAGTTCAAAATGGGGCTGATTATTTAAGTTGCTTAACTGGCAACGGTACATTGCACTTGTCTCTTTGGCACCTGGTTTGACATTCTCTCCAAGTTGCTCCAACACATACACACCCTTACAATTCACAAACTGCATCTCACTGTCTCCATCACAATGCCAAACAAAGACATTGTCAACATCAGTATCCATAGTAATACGGTATCCCACAGCAATCGTCTTGCGCATAGCAAGTACATTGGCAATTCCATCTTCATTGTGATACACTGGAGGCGGAAATCTTCCTAAAAAACCTTCTTTGTCAAGAAGTCTGCTGCCCACGTTCATAAATCGCATCTCTCTGTCTCCATCTCAATGCACAACAAAGGCATTTTCAACATCAGTATCCATGGTAATACGGTATCATAGCAAGTACATTGGCAATTCCATCTTCATCATGCATCTGAAACAATAGGTATGACCTTTTAAAGAAGAAATCCCCCAAAATTCCCCATGGTCTGCCCTTTTTGCGGCAGGCCTCCGTTGACCACCATGAGACATTGGTTGTCAGGTCCTTTTCTTTCAAAAGGTCATAGTTGTCCTAAAGAGGTGACCTTTTTCATGATCCATAGACAAAATGGCTATTGATTAGCATTTTATCACTCCACGGACTCCTTCTTGTGACACTCCTTTGTCATAGAGATCAAGTCACCAATAGTAGCCATCAGAGCAAGGAGTGTAAACTAATAGTCAAGGAGAGTCATCTAAGTGGCACATGATTTGGTTCATACAGGAAGTCTGCCTCATTTGGTCTTGCATCTTACCTTGAAACCAGCTTGTTGGGAGCAGGGGCACTGCTTCAACAAACCTTCTGCTGGCTGTAGTAGCTATTAGTATTAGGCCAGTACTACATTGGACACCCTTCTTTGCCGGACTTTTATCTGATTTCCTTCATGGAAGGCCGCCCTAGAGAACAGCGCAGGAAGGAAGGGCATAAAGTGCAACTGCATCGGAAAAGAAAGTCAGTTGATATTTAAGGGACCATGCCCCAAAATCAGCAGGGCATGTCTTTTTGGGGCTTGGGTCGCTTCCCCTAGAATTGATGAAGGCGATATTTTCAGAGAGCCCATGTGATTATGAAGCATTCTATGATTTGTCACTTTGTTTGTCACTTGCGACCTCTGACATTCAACTTAACCATGTCCTACTTTCAGAGTACCCTTCTTATTAGGAACCTTCCCCTTTGTTTGTCGTTGTGTTTGTCACTTGTGACCTTTAAAACCCAAATGAACCATGCCATATTTCATCACCTCCTGATGATAAGCCATTGGTGTATGCTTTCTATTGCAACCTACTGCCACTAAATTCAACTTCAGTGGCCGCTATGATAGCAAACACCCACTTAACAATACACAAACCACTTCTTTGGATCCTGATGGATAAAGCTCTACATGAGTTGCCTGTAGATTCTATTTAGATCTAGATCTAGATCCAGAAATTAGGTGGCAGCTCTGAAAAGATTCAAGTTAGATGCAAATTCTGAAATAGCCCACCTATTGTTCTAACTTCATTCAATTTTTTTAGTCTATATTATATTTGTCACCAATATTGGTGTCTAAGAATGCTGGTTTGGCTGGAACGGGAGAATTCTTGGTGGAAATGCTCCAAGAACCAAATTCACTTGAGGTGGACTCGAAGAGATTTTTGGCTACATCAGGAATGTTTGCCAAATTGATCATCAAACTTATGTGAGTGCGGCGGAAACATTTCTACCTCAAGATACCCTATACCAATGTATCAACCTTGCCAAGTACATCAATGAGCAAGAAATATTAGTTTAAATAAAGCAATTCAAAGCAATTTGGTCAACAATTCGGCCAGATCACTCCAGATCATGCTTTGGGGCAACAAACTTACCTGTGATTCAAACTTCCCCTTTGCTCAGGCGCCTTGATCTAGGATAGGCCAAATCTATTGATAGGTCCGGTAACCCTTTGTCCATTAGAGGCAGTAAAAGGGAGTGGCAGGTTGTTGTTTGGGTTTCTGTCTCCATGGTGCCAGGAGGACCCGCCGAAACGGAGCAAACTCATAATATTACCAAACCAACTCAACATATTGGTCAAAATTTATGTGCCAATGGTCGAACTCTTCTTCCGCTAACGACGCACTTGCTCAAAATATATGCAGAGATGAGATTGGTGTATTGTCGGTTTTTTTGTGGCTTTCTGGGTCCACCAAGGCCAGTTTCCCAAGAGCAACAGATTCTGATGATAGGGCTTGAGTTTGAATTTGGCACCGGATAACGCCATTAGGCACCATCTTCCTGCATCTAGGGACGTCTTCACATACAAAGTTGATGATGTGTGTGCGCCCTAGACGGTGTCTATGGCTTTCTTACCGACAAAGTCGCTCATCATTAGACCAACACACAGTTTTTGTTACCATCGTCATCAGTAGAAATTTTTCGTTGTGCCCCATGTATTGTCGTTTGGCTTCCATATTGCCAGTTGGTGCAATGGGAACAGTTGGTTGTTGCGCCAGTCCATTGTTGCGCAAACTGTAGTTGATTGTCATGTTTGTGTTGTTTCTGTTTTTATTTCGGCTGTGTGGATTGAGATTCGGGATCTGCCATACATTTGGCATCAAAAAGTTTCTCCGGATTGGGATTTTAGGATCTGCCATACATTTGCACCTGAAGCCTAGACGCTCCGTCCAAATGTACCACGATCCTACACGGTCAGAAGTGATCAAAACGTTTCTCCGATGAGCCCAGGACCCTCCGCAACTCGTCCGTCAATCGACCGTTTTGTGGATTGATATTCTCGACTAGTTTGACTACTGAACAGCTTTCCCCGCACCCCTGAGCTGGGGCATTACTGAAGCAAAAAAGTCGTTTTGAATCGTTTCGTCCGTCGCAATGAATCGTTTCGATTCCTTTGAATCGTTTCAAAATCATTTGAACGGTTTCGTTTCGCATTTGAATCGTTTCGATTCCTTTGAATCGTTTCAAAGTCCTTTGAATCGTTTCGTTTGAATCGTTTCGTGTGATCTTTGAATCGTTTCGTAATCCTTTCATGTGACGTACCTCTGGTACAAGTATGTGCTCCAATTATCACATAATCTTGGTCAAACCATTTTGTGCGGAGCAGCTTCATAGGACAACACAACAATCCAACTTCGGGGGCTTCGTTGAAGATCTGACAGTTGGCCAGGAGATCCGTTTATATCTTGGCTGGGCACTCAGTGCATACAACTCTCGGCTGAATGAGTTCGCACAGGCCCATTTCCGTTCATTTTCCATGGTTGAAAAGAGTTTCTACTGCGGAGCCACTGCTTCGTGTTTCTCCAATTGGGCATGAGGCTGTTCCACCGGAATCCATCCCTTGCTAGTGTCCGAACTACCACATTGTCGTAGTTCGTCTAACATACAGAGTATGGCAAGGAGGCAGCAGGATGATGCAGGTAGATTCCAATCTTACTGCCATACCTTTGCCGAACTCTCTCTTTGCCGAGCTCTCAACGTACTCACAAATGAAGCGTCGCAAGCCAATCATTGAGATGCTATAGATAACATAGTTGATTAAATAGTTAAGTTTGATTCCAAAATGAAACTAATGCAACCCAGGATGTAGAGAGTGCAGACGCAATGTTCACAAGTCAATCGTGAACCAAAGGATTGATATGTGCGACCCGGTTATCGGTTGGATAGTTCTTCGACTGTAAAATAGGCAAGTGGTAAATATTCCAAATCTCATCTAACAGGATTAGTAGTCTTCCCAATCAATGTGATTTGAACAATGTACTTACATCAGAATAACAAGCTCGATATCGTTCTTGTCTTGCTTGTTGCTGTATTGAACTATCATTTGACCATATTGGTAGAATAGGCAAGTCAGAAATATTCCGAATCTCAATTTTAGCAGCGCAGATGCAATAAGTTAAATCCCACTCCGCTTCTGCTTTCAAACAATGTTGATTGCTGCATTCATCGATATCTTTCATGTCTTGTTTGCTGCGGTAGTGAATGCGAACAATGATTTGACCATAGAACAGGCATTTATGCTGTACAGTAGCAAGATCAGTCACACTCCGCTCCATCAGCTTTCAAACAATGTGGATTGTTGCATTCTTCTTGCCGAATTCATAACGTTGTTGCTGATTTGTTGGCTCGAGTCGCTTGTTCTTCAAAGACTATCGTATCAAGCAGGTCACGACAAGCAGGTAACGACGAATTTATTGATACCTTCTTGTCTTGTTTGCTGCGGTATTGAATGCAAACGATTTGAGCGACCATTGAAAAGGCAAAGCATTCCGAATCTAGTTTAAGCAGTGCAGTAGCAAGATAATCCCACTCTGCTTTCGCTTTCTGGTGGATTGTTGGATTGCTTCATTCTAATCAATCGGCACCTACTCAGATCGAGAGCGCCGATGCAGATTTGTTGGAACTCATCGATTCTTCATTGATGCCCCTGATGTATGCGCTTTGGTTATTCCAAGCGGACACCTGCCGTCATCGTAGGGGTAGTATGAAAAATACGCCATTTTCAAATATTCATCACCTATTTTATG